GTGTGTGTGTGTGTGTGTGTGTTTGAGGAGGGTGGGCATATCTGAGACTGACAGCACCTGAGGACGCCGGCACCGAGACACGGCTCGGGTTGTACTCCGGCTCACGTCTCATCCAAAACAATACAATCACGCGCTATCACAGCCTCAATTGCTACCCACGGATTGAAAGGGGTCTTGATGGAAGACCATCACAGCAGATCAGAATAAAGAGAACGGACCGAGCGGCCGCACACGGGCTGTTAATGCAACGGGGGGAGGAGGGGCTCTGAGAGAGAGAGGGAGAGAATATGCACAAAAGAAGGAGCAGAGAAAAGAAGGGGCTGATCCAATTGAGCAAAGCAGAGTGATGGGGACAGCTAAGGACACAAACACAGAGGCAACGTGGAGGTATATTAAACTGAAGGCCATTAGTTCTAAGCCCGTGGCCTGAGGCTGTGCCGAGCAGAACAGAGCCAGCTTTCATTAGCGACGGCGGGTTCAGGGTTCCGCGGCCACGTTTTTTCCCCCTGTTGGTCTTTTGAAGTTTTGATTTATCACTAAAAGTGGTCTCTGTCACAAATGAGAGGAAAGGCAAACTTCAAGGGGAGCGGAGCAAAAAGCAAAGTTTGACCCCATCAAAGAAGTCGCCTCCATCATCGCATGTGCTGCTCAGAGCCTCGTCAATGAAGATCGCCTGAGCGTTAAACTATGACTGGATGGGGTAATGCTTTGTCTATGGGTTTCTATGAGCGGTCATGTAGCCTGGAGGTGGCGGCTCGATGCTGCAGCGTCTTTACGGCTCCGTTAATGAGTTCTCATTTACAAGTGTCTCTCCAAACATCTAAACATATGCCGTGACATTAGAAAACAGGAGCGGCGTCCGTCCACACGGTGCATCCATCCATACCATGACCTCCATGAAATGTTATAATGAAGTTAATAAAACACACTTTGCTCCCAGAGAAGAGAAAAACGACCTAAAACCCAAAACCTCATCAGTGAGTCAGGCTGTCTTCAGGCTCTGTCTACTCTCAATAAAAAGGCACATGATGGCACTGCACTCTGTTTTTCACCATAGTGTGCAGGAACGCAGGAGGGGCTGACTGTCACATGGATGACACATACTCATAATTGGCAATAGAAGGTTATTCTCATTTTTTTTATTTTAAAGTTGCAGGAGACTTAAAGATAAACCGTGAGTAGTTTGCAAAAGAAAAAACCTAAAGTAAAAGATGTGTGTTGATTTATTTGTCCGATCAGTTGTGAGGACGGATAATAATTTTTACGTTGACCCACAGAAGAAAGATGAACGACAAGAGGGCTCCCAACAAAGTGAAGCCAAATCAACTCGATACCCCTGGTGGCTGGCTGCAGTACAGGTAAAAAAAGACCCTGCCTCCTCCATGTTAGTTGAGGAGACACAGACCAAACTAAAAAGCTAAAATACACGTCAACATTTTGTAGTTATCGCACTGATGCATGAAGCATTTAAATTTGTCGTTCGATGGTATAAAAATGGGACAAACGTCATGATTGACTGCTCCTCCCACAGTTTCCCCTCTAAGAATAAGCGGCGTGGATAACGTATGAATGTACAATGACAGGAAGTGGAGATGTACTGTTTATCTTCGTGTACAGTCGATGGGTCAACCAGTTCTTTCTCAAGAAAAAAAAACACAGAATGAGTTTTACAATGCAGCAGCTGCACGAAATAAAAATTCAACCAATATCCCCCCAGGAGCCAGATTGCGGACTGTTGTTAATTGATCCTGTTGGCAGGATTTCAGAGGCATTTTACTTTATTTCTTCTGCGTTTCAGAGCGAGCTGACCCGGGTTACATGCATGAGGAAATACGAGGGGAAGATATCTCCCCCCAGGTTTGACCTGTGCAAGACCTCGAGATGCAGCTCTTGTTTAGCAAAGCTTCTCTCAGACGCTCGGCCGCCTGAAGAGTGCAGAAGAGCGGAGAAGAGGCTGAATGGACAGAGAAACACTGAGGTAAACAGGGTTTTCTCCTGTTAGGTTGTAGATTTAATTAACTTCCATTTAGATCTGAACTTAAATCTGAACTGCAGTGGGTTGTATGTCATTGCTGCATCCATGTAATAAATAACAACAACCAAAGCAATGGATGCCACTATATTCATGGCTTGAGATACGTCTGTTCATAAAAAACTGTCTTTTACAAGTAAAGGTTTTCTATTTAAATCCTACTAAAGTATGGAGGTAGTCAGCAGTAGAATAAACTGAAAGTATTAAAAGTTAAATCACAAGTTTAGCAAAACATTTTACATTTTTAACTACTTTAAGTAAGAGTTAATATAGTGAGTTTAGAAGGTGATTAATGGAAAAAGTAAAGAAGCAAAATATAAAACTATGCAACAACAAATTAAATTTTTAGACTTTTCTCTAATCCTCAGAAAAGTATTGCCTTTTCACCTGCTGGTCTCAAGCAAAAGGTTTGTGAAAAACAAATTCACCTCTCACAGCTGAAATGTTCGACTTGTTTCCAACTCACTTTTTATAATAAGCATTTTTATGAAAGCTGTGGATTCCAGTCCCACTCTGCTGATGTGCTTCTTATATATTGAAAGATTTCAGACACAATAACTCACAGCAGCTCTGTGGTGGAGGCTTAAATGTATTTGATTTGTACTTTCTGCTGCTTCTTCCCTGAGTTTACCGCCTCGGTTCTCTTGTCATTTATCATATTAGCTCTTACGGCTAATTGGCTCGGCCACAAACACACATTTCAATTTAAAAGTTTAGCTTCTCTGCTCTGCTGTCAGAAGCTGGTGACTGCAGTGACTCTCCCCAAAGGTTTTACTCTTCACTGAGATCCTGCAGATCACTGCTTCACTTCACCGAGATAAATATTTGCTGTTTGTGCTAATATGTCCTTCGACAGGCGACGTCGTGTCTCTGCTCAGTCTGCGAGCTCGGAAACATCAGCAGCTTGTGTTATTGCTCTGCTGCAGCTTTTCTGCTTAAATATGCTGCTGCCATCTACCTATATGTGCACTGAAGTGATGGTAATGAGCTGAGGCCCTTTCATTTTAATTGTTGGGTGTTAATTTAGATGTGAGGAGGTGCATACTGAGGAGTTTTACTTGAAGTACATTTTGCAGAAGATTTGCAGACCTTTGTACTTTAATGCATACGACTGCAGGGTTTTTACATTGCTGTTTTATACTTTTGCAGACGATATATATATAAAACCACAGTAACAATGTGTAATAAAACATCATATCTCACAGTAACACGGTTGTAAAATCTACGTCATCAATGTCCTCTATAAAAATGACACAGACTCAGAGCTTCACACCAAAATAAACCAAACATCAGTAGTTGTTACATGGACACTGAGGTCATATGGATCTTACCCAGCAGTGTGATGATGCAGCCCAAAATAGCCAGGAGGGCGCCGGTGCTCAGGCCAGTCGCTGTGTACGCCACAGCTCCACAAGACAGGGCCACGCCGTCAGAGTCGCAGTCGCACACCCGCACGGAGAGCGTGTTGGTGCTGCTGAGGGCGGGGCTCCCGCTGTCCACGATCAACACGGGCAGCCGATAGACGGGCTGCTCCCGTCTCCTGAAACCCCCTCGCTTCGTCAGTATGGACGCTGTGTTGTCTGCAGAACAGAGCATCGGCCACACGTGAGAAAACGACGAGTTCAAATGAACAACGATCAGAACAGCTTAGACGAGCAGGAGGCGTAACTTCTGTTCTGTAATGATTTCTGTCCGGTTGTGCAGTTGGAACTGATTTTACAGTATAAGCAGAAATACCAACAGATGGTGTCATTATCACAACTCATTACATGAGACACTGTGGCATCTCTCCCTGGCCTTGACCACCTGTTAATAACAGCTTTGGTTCGATGGTATAAGATCATATATGAGATGTTAGCGTCTCAGAGACGACGAGAAAATGATGTGCCATTACAGCTGCTGAGACAAAAAAAAAAAAGCTATTCCATCACATCTATATCATTGCACTTTCACATTGAGCAGTCATGACTGAAATGTAGATTTTGCCCTGAAGGACAAAAGTGTTCTTGGAATGCTGAGAACAAGGTGAGAATAAAATACAGAGCCGGCTTCTTTTGTGAACGCCACATTAGTAAAATCAGCAAAGTGTTCTTATGGGCAAAGAAAAACACATTTGGCTGTTAACAACTGTGAAGGGCTTCAAAATAAAACACTTAAAATGGTGAATTAATATGTTCTTGAACTTAATGTGAAACATTTGGTCGTGCATTTTGTCTTCGAGGGATATTTATGTGCAGCTGGGCAGCCAACAAATACAGTGCAAGTGAAAATAGGACATTGAAACATTAAGCAACATAGCAAAAGTATTTAAGCTTCGGAATTCAATCTTATGTGGCTGCTGAATAATTCATGCTAATGCTATAATTGCCTCCCGCTCCTCCGGTCTCAGGCTTTCCGCAAGATTTTGGACCATGTGCCATGGATCTTCTAAACCTAATGGGAAAGCTAGAATTGCACTAAGGAGACGGCTGATTTTTTTTTATTATTCTTTAGGAAATTGATAAAAATGTCACAAAACATAAAAACATCTCGTAATGTTACGGAAAGCAAAAACAAAATCCTGGATCTGCCTCCTGATCCAGAATGTACTGGGTTCTTTCCCCGACCCATTAAACATCCTTCCACTCACCTTCATGGTTCCAGTTTGTTTTGTGTAATTCTACTACATAATGGACAAACAATACTGCATATCTTGGCTAAGGCTAATACATTTTTTAATACCATGTTCCGTGGTAATCTGTCCAGTACTTTTTTGTGTAATCCTGCAAACAGACAGTCACATTGAACATATCCTCTTTAAAAAAAAAAAATGAAAAAGGTTCAAATCAGGTTTAGGGTGATCAAGGTAAACACGGGGTTGTGTGTGGTCACAGAGAAACTCTCCACACGTCATCGTAAACTGTCGTCCAGCCAAGCTGCTGTTAATCTGCTGAGAGGTTACCTCGAACATCCAGTTCATCATGTAACACAGGTCTGCACTTGCACAGATTACAGTGGGACAACCCGGCTGTCGCTGGAGTGAAGTGTGCTGTGGCAGCTTCAGCCGAGCTCCCACATATGTGAAAAGTTCAGGGCACACGGGGCATTACTTCAGAGAGCAGCGGGGGTTTCGTGTTAGTTAGTGATGATGGAGTCAGGTACAATTCTCTTTTGTCTTTAAAGCTGCAGGATGTTCCGATGAACGCCTAACTTTTCCTATAGCAGCAGCTAATTTTCTTCTTGCGTCCATTGCTTTGTGTGTAGGTGGTGAGCAAATCATTACAGGACAAAGGCTGCTGCTCTGTGATCTCGCAGTCAGTCTCTGCACTGAGCAGAACAAGGCACAGAATGAGTTACCTCAGATGTGCTTCAGTTTGCAGAGGAAAGTTTGTTTTTGCATTCAGCTGTGATGGGGGTGGGGGGGTGGTACAGAGGCCGTTGTCACAGCAGAATTATGGTTTCATTTGGCGCGACCGGGCGAGCCGGGGGGCACCTGTTGCTCTGTGCGGCTTCTCCAGAGTCAGATCGCTGAGCAGATTGTGTCCAGGAATGAGAAATGACCAAAGAGTCGGTTGCTTTGCTGCCAGGCTCGACTCCAAGGAAGTACGCAGGAAATATACCGTACCCAACTTGACCAACACCTTGTACACACTCCGAGGGAATTTACTCAGGGGAGAATTTGATTTAGCTGCAACAGGGACTTATCCGATACCTGCAGCTTTGACAAGAACGTGAACAGACTGACTTCAGGGTTTCTGTTAAATCTCAAGTCAAACCTGAGAGGTCAAACTAGAAATGGAAACCAGAGCCAAAATGTTGTCTCTCACCTACAGATTCTGCAAAATCACAAGTGGAATCCGTTTATAGAAATTCTGTTATGTTACAATTTTCAGGATTTAATTTCAGTATTCGACCAAAGTTAGACTCATGAGCAACATAAAACAGATATCTGGAGGTTAACACATGTATTTAAGTTTCAGCTAAACATCATGAGATCAGGTGCTTCTGAGTTTTTTTAGCCTGCAGTTCTGATGGAACAGAAAAGCACTGAAAAATGTCAAAATGGTTTCATACCTGACGTTACTGCCCATGGTTGTCATGAGAGAAATGTAAGACTTTGGTGAATCAAATTTAAAACTTTTTATTACCTCCTCAGGTCTTTTTTTTTGATGAAAGTGAACCGAATACGTTGTCATCAAGACCATTAAAGACACCACACCTACAGATTTCTGTTTGAATTTCACTGGGAGACACTTCCACACATATAATCACAGAATAATGGTTAGACACGCCTGAAGGGAATAATATCGCACCTTTGTTATCTCGCAGAGTGAAGTTGAGGTTTCCAGCAACAGGTGCAGCGAGGGCGAAGTAGAAGCGGTGTCCGCTCAGAGGTTCGTCCTTATCCACCGCACTGATGGTCTGGATCACCTGAACGCAACAGGAGCATAAACACAGGATCAGTTTTCAAGATTTGTTTCCTTCCTGATCTTTATCAGATGTCACCGGTTGATTAGATGTTAACTCAAGCTGCAAATCGTCTAATGTGTGCACGCAGCTTTTATGGAATCAGTTTGAGGAGAAGCAAATCTTTCTAAAAAGGCCAGGTCAGTAAACTGGAGGATCATATTCAGATGGATGGAAAAATATTTCCTTTATTATGTTTGGCTCTGATTTTCTGTCGTTTAGCTCTTAAAATAGAGTAAGTGCTCGTTTGGCAGGAGAACACGAAGTGTTTGCTTTAGGAAAGTGATCTTTCCAATGCAAATGATTGTCCAGTGGTTATTCTCATAAACACATATCGTGATAACTTTTAATATGAACTCTTTTCTATACAAACCAGAAAACACAACAGGAACTTTGTGGATTTAACAAAAATCTAGATCTCAACCTGCCTGTTCGTTCGGCCTGTGGTGAAGCAGGCTGCCTTTCTGTTTATGAGACTGCAGTAATTTAATTAACATTGAACGTGTCTCATCACATCAAATTCAAGAATGCTTTTCCTTCGACCTTTAACAACACGCACACCAAGACTGGTGCTGATAAGACGAATGGTTCCTGAGATAAGTTGACCCCATACAGACAGAGATTTCTGGAAATATTAGATATATCAGCTTTGACCAGGGATCCTAAAATGTCTTTTTATTTATTTACATCTGGTAATGATGTTCTGTTCAAGCAAAAGTGAATTTTAACAATCTTTGAATGCTTTAAATCTTGGGAAATAAAACATTTTACAAAAGTATAATGACATTTAATTCTTTAAAAGACAATTCAGATAAATAAAATACTTTTTGTGGCTTGCACACTCCTTTTGGGCCGAATTTGCAAAGCCCCCAGTAATCAGAGCGAAATCCTTCAATATCCACATAGTTATTATTTTGCTTTATTGAATCATAATGAATCCGTGTCAGTCTGTAATGAGTGATAACACGTGCAACAGTTGTGATGACCATTGAATAGTTAATGCACATATATTCTTCTTCTATCTAAAATCCGATCAGAGCTGCGTTGCCCGTGTGACAAGTGAAGTCAGGTCAGTCCACAGGATGTTACGCTGACGCGGTTCAAAATAAATGCATATGTTATGCAGGCAGGCTTTCCTTCTTTATTATTGCAAGTATAAAAATGACTCATGATAAGGACGGCTGTAGCTCCGGGCGATGCAACACACGCATTTATATGTGTGAGTTAAACAAGTGAATTCTATTTACTTCTGCCCATTTTATTTCGCCTCAGAACTGAGAACTAAACAGAATCTTACCCCCTTCATTATAGAGCAGTGTTGACAAATCTAAATAATGCAGGAAATCAAATTACCAAATAAAACCAATTTATTTGCACCCACCAGCATGTGCTGTAATGATTTTTTATTCATACAAACATGTTATCTGAAAATCAAGTTATCTGTTTTCAGCAAAAGAAGAAGGAAAAAAAAAAAAAAAGACGCCCGCTGAGCTTTAATTTCAGCATCCGAGCGGCAGAACTTGAAGAAATAAAAAAAAAAGAAATCTCACTCAGTACGTGGTGTACAGGAGCAGCACATCACACACCAACACGCCATATGGACGACAAATGATAGCCGCCGCGACGGCCATCAAAGTGGGTGTTACTGCAGGAGTGTCCTTATGAATTTCGATCAAGCCTCCTGAATCCTTTGCAGACAATCTCCGAACTCAACCCTGCGACAACTCGCACCCGTGGACGGGATCCAAGAGATTCTTAAAAGCAATTCACACTAAATTATCACATATCCCAGCCCCAAACAGCTCCAACATCAAAACAAAACCAGCATTTAAATGAGGAGAAAGAGGGAGGGCGAGGAGGAGAAAACCCACCAGTGATCTATCAGTGCTGAGACATGGATTATCAGTTGTCAGCTGTGATTAAATGCTGCTGGTTACAAGCTGTCAGGTATTAGGGGTTGGTGTAGGTGGCAAACGACATCCTGCCAATTATTAAAACTGGCAGGCGGGGGGGGGGGATTCATGAATATTTTTACTTGTGTGTTTCTTAACAAAGTTAAAATAGTTGCTCTTTCATCAGCAGAAAATAACAAACAATCACAACTGTTTGGTTCTGCAGCGCAAGGGAAATTTACCCGTGGAAAAAGGTTATCTTGAACACGTGGGATATCTCGTGTGTACGCGGACTGAAGTGATGTTTGTGTTTGTGTCAGATCTGTGACAGGTAGACGCCGCCACCACCGCCGCCGCCACCACCCCCGCCGCCACCACCACCGCCAAGCACCTAAACATGCAGCGTGTGCATGCTTGGCTGCGTATCATGAAAAGCCGCCATTGACTGTGGGATCATAATATCTCACATGCCTCTCACTCTGTTATGGAAATCTCACATCTGATAGAAACCTTTCTTTGTGGCTCGTACACCGATGATGAATCCTACACACAATTTGAACCCTTTGATGTCCTTTGAATTTTGCAGATGGCTTTCGGAGCTTATCTCCAGGAAGGTTTCCGTTCCTCGCCACCGAGCGAAAGAACTGTAAATCATCCTTAAATCAAACACTTTGTAATGTATAATGCCTTTCATTAGTGTGGCTCTGATGCAAGGCGTTCCAGAGAACCTTTGCTGGGGAATTCTCTAATGGGTTGAGTAGGAGACAGGAGGAGCGAGGCATGGATGTAGACATAAATCCTGGCTGAAAGACATTAGCAGCCGCAGCAGACTGGTGCCTGTCGGAAGGCAAGACTGAGGAGGCCTATGAATCACAGAATTGAGTTTTTTTCTCAGTTTACACATGGCTGCGTGTCAGATCAGAGCAGATATAAAAGGACAAAGGTGTCTCTATTTGTGGCTTTGGTGAAGGAGGAGGAGTATGTGCAAACAACAGACATACAAACACACTGGTACTGTAAAGTATTGAGTATTTATAGGTGATATCTGTATTGATTAAAGCCATATCTGAATGATCTGGAAGCTGATTTTACTTCTATTATTTTACTGAACCTGACTTTTAGTTTCCTATTATTTAATATTAAATAAGACCTGTGACCTCCTACGTGATGTTTTGTTTATCTGAGCAACTTATGACCGTGGTCGTGTTTTAAAAGAGGGCTGCAAATTAACATCAAGGCGTGTGGACGTTCATCTTTTGGAAAAATAACTTGTCACTTAAAACTAATTTCCTGCATTTGAACAACCACTTCACCTGTTGGATTAAGTCAAGAGTCAGCACATCACATGGGATCTGTTTAACGTAACCTGACATTTGTTAAACCTGCGTTTTTGCTGAACATTCACAAAGAATCTAAACAGTTTGAAGGAATAAAACTGATTCTACCAGAAACTGCTTATTTGACACAGGCTCTGGTTGTAGATTCTCTCTTAGCCCCACTTGCTGTAATGTTATGCAGGAATGAATAATCACAAATTCAGAAGCAGATGGTTTTAACCTACGTTATCTCAAATCAAGGACTGTTTTAATGCACCACTCAGGAGGTCGCTCCTTAAGTCTTAAAAGGGCCATTTTTATTCGAGGACAAGCTCTCACTCAGAAACCAGCCATCACTGCAAACCTGCGTCTGTCATGTGAGAAGATGAGACAATAATGAGCGGACGGATGAAAGGAGAGAGAGAGAGCGTAGCAGCGATGCATTCTGGTATTTAAAAATAATTCCATCCAAAGTCTACAACTGAATCTAAATTAGCACAAATAGAAACGTGCCACAAATTCTATTGAAACTTGGTAGAAAAGTGGGGTGTGGCCCAAAGAAGAACTCGCTAATAAAGGGGGATGGATCTAATATAGATATATTTTTTTGATAGTTTTAAAAATGTATTGCTTTAACATTGGCGGATATAGATCACCGAGTTCACTTCAGGTTTGTTGTTTTGTTTATGTACTTGTTGGAAATGGTCAAATGATCTAATAAAGGCTTCATGTATGAAATCACCTGATTGTTTAATGAAGACATGAGCCACAAGCTGCAGCAACACCACATGTCAACCAAAGGTGCCAAAGGTGTCCCGAATTTGTTTTTGGCAATTATACGGTCACATCTATTTCGTCCAGGCAAGTGTTGCATCAGTGCCTGAGGTGGCCCACATCTGTATGCTATCTGGGTTGGCTCCCCGAAATTCAATAAAGGGTTAGAGGCCTGTGCTGACGACTCCGGGTGACAGGTTGATTTCTACTGAACCAATTATTTAACTGATAAACAATGAAACAACCTTTTAGCGATGAAACAATTGTGTTTGTTCATCTGGGTGAGGTAGAGAGAGAGATAACACAATGCAGAGTGGGATGGGGGATGTGAGCATGTATACATGTTGCTCTCTGTGTGGCCGCTTGCAGGAAGAAAATCGAAAAAGTTTTCTGACTCAGCCGGAAACTCTCATAAAGCTCAGCAGCAGCACGTTGCATAAACTATGCAGGGACAGATGCACTGATGGAATTGCAGCGACTCTGCCAGCAGCATTTCGAAGGCAGGAATACTAATCGTTCTGCAGGAGAGGCTGGAGAGACAATACAATTCAATACAGCCTTTCACATTATAAACAAAGTACAATTTAACTCAATGATCTTTCTGTTAAAGCACAACTTCAGCTCGTGGCTGTTTCCTTTTCAATAAAATATCACATTGTTACTGTAGACGTTCTATTTATTACTTCAAACACTTATCAGTGATACGGTCAAGATGGAAAATAATGAATGTGTTGAGTTGTAATTCGATTTAAATATGACCCTCTGTCGTGAGCACCAGTGCTTCGGTGGAATAAAAGTCCGGAGCTCTGTGTCCTGACGTTATAAATCACTAAATAACTGGGAGGACTCAGAATCACTGTGAGAGTCATTTGCAACATACCAATAAAATTAATGTTCTACAAAATCAAATTAACATAATTGTGGGGCAGATTTTTTCCAATCCTGTTAAACGTACGACCACAGATGGTCGGAATCCAACCAC